CTAAATTGAGTTTGACATGAAACCTTGAAGGCCCTGGCGAAGATGATTGCTGTTTGTGGTCCTTACCATCGTATAACGGCAAGTGCCTACAGTCTTCTTGCTGTTGTTCTGTATCACACTGGAGATTTTAATCAGGTACACAACATATTTCTGCTTTTCTTCAATGTATATAGCTTTTATAATTATAACCTTGAATAATTTGCCTTTTCTTTGTCCATGAGCAAATATAAAATCAAAATTTGTCGAGTCTACTGGTATAAAAATTCAATTTATTGTTAAAAAGCACTAGAAACTCGCAGAGAGATTGTGATGCTTCCAATGATAAATTATCATGATATACTGATCCCAATCAATGAAGGAAAGAGAAGAACGTTTGGGCATAAAATTGTGCTTATGTTTAGGATGACAAATATCTAAGGTAAGATGCTCGATATCCCACCAATTATTTCATGGCCAAATGAAATATTTTTTTTTTTAGATACTTTGTGGAATGCCAAACGCAGAATTCTTTAGAACATTTCAGCTTTGAACTTGCCACACTGCTTATTCAATAAAAAGAGAGGTTCCATGACATTGACATTGTAATGTCTAGACTTCATATACTTGATTACATATATTGAAGAGCCACTTTCACTTTGTTTTAAATTTCCCTGCGTAGGCAACTATATATCAGCAGAAGGCATTAGATATCAATGAGAGGGAGCTGGGGCTTGACCATCCGGATACGATGAAGAGCTATGGAGATCTATCTGTGTTCTATTATCGTCTTCAACATATTGAATTGGCCCTGAAGTGAGTTGCATATATTTTTTTAATATAATTTGTAATTTCGGAATATATATTCGCCCTTTTTGATCTTCCATTGTATGTTGCCCTTTAATCAAGTTTTAACATCAACTCATAGTCTTACTTTTTCATGAATTGTACAGATACGTCAACCGTGCATTGTATCTTCTTCAATTCACATGCGGGCTCTCTCACCCAAACACGGCTGCTACTTACATCAATGTAGCTATGATGGAAGAAGGCATGGGGAATGTGCATGTTGCTCTCAGATATCTACACGAAGCCCTGAAGTGTAATCAAAGACTATTGGGAGCAGATCACATTCAGGTCTCTTACCACCCCTTCCTAATTAATTCAAACATGATACTGTACGAACATATACATGCCTTATCTTGCATTTAACAAGTAATGAGAAAATATAATTTTTTTATTAGATTTCATGAGATATTATCTTGATATTCGTACATTTAGCATAATGTTTGTTGTATCTCACAGACTGCTGCCAGCTATCATGCCATTGCCATAGCTCTTTCCTTGATGGAGGCATATTCCCTTAGCGTGCAACACGAACAAACTACATTAAAAATTCTTCAGGCTAAACTGGGAGCTGAGGATCTGCGTACTCAGGTTCGCAATTATTCAACTCTCGTTGGCCTCTTTTATTAAGCTGCAAAAGTTTTTGCCTCAATGTTGTTTATATCCTGCTAAATGGCAAGCAACGACATTGGTTGCAGTATGTTTATATTTGAGATGGTCCTATTGAAAAATATGCATATTCTCTGGGTGGTCCTTCCTGATACTTCAATATTGGATTCCTTTATGCCTATCATTCTGAATAGTATGTATCACTTCCAAAAACCACGGATGCAGTTCTTTCCGTTGCAAATGCTTTTAATTCAAGCATCCGATACTCTTAACAACTTGTTATTCAATTGCCTATCAAGTGGCATTTTTTTCTTTTGGCAAGGATTACATTATATGGAATTTAATATTTCCAAGTACATGCAGGATGCTGCTGCGTGGCTCGAATACTTTGAATCGAAGGCCTTGGAACAGCAAGAAGCCGCACGTAATGGAACACCAAAACCAGATGCATCCATTGCCAGCAAAGGTCACCTGAGGTATTGATACGGTACTTCCATTTTACTTGGTTTCTGGAGTTATTATATCGTACACTTGCAGACTTGAAAAACCTTGACCTTGTGCTGCAGCGTGTCAGATCTCCTTGATTATATAAGTCCCGATCAGGAGTCAAATGCTCAGAGGAGAAGGCGATCAAAGGTATTTACATATGTTTTTCTTACTAATTCCAATATGTGATCTTCCTTTCTCCTTTTTTCCAGTATGCTGCAAACTTTACCTCTTTCCTCCTTTTCGTGATGTGATCTCTTTAGGTTTGCCAAGTTGGTGATAAATCCCAGTCAGAGAAACCAGAAGAAAACACCAAAAACACCATTAACCCTGAAAGTACAGAAACCAGTAAGGTAGTGGAGAAAACCAGCCAGAAAGACGAAAAATTAACAAATAAATCCTCGAAAAAACCATTGAAGGACACTCAACTCGTACACAATCGATCACTTCCAGAAGAAATCAGCCAAGACGTGAACTCAGAAGATGGCT